TTAGTCAAAAGTAATTCGTGTACTCAGATTTTTTTAGTGGAATAGGAGGTGGGTGGGGGCGGGGGGGGGGGGGGTCCGAGAGTGGGTGGTGGTATTCATCACGTGACGACCTATTACTTTTACCTCCTACACTGCTGCTACAATGACTGGTAAAAAAATGACTTAGTGGGCGCTGACTTGATGCTGATTTTATTTATTTAACGGGGGGGGGGGGGGGGGGGGGAAAGAGAGATAACTCCAAAATCAAACAACTTCTGCCTTGTAGTTTATTCTTGGTTAGACAAAGTCTGGGACCAAATCCGAAAAAGAAAAGTATGCTGAAATCGGAGTCAACTTATACGGCGCATAACAAGTTGACACGTAATACTTGATCGCGTTGAAGAAAATCCTTTCCAACATTAAAATTAAGAACGCAGAAGAAGAAGAAACATTTTTATTAACATGTATATGCAAAAGTCTTCATGATCTGGCCAGGCTCATTGGTTACCTTAAAATCCTTTCATTTACTGAGATCTAAGAACATCCTTCTTTCTAAACGCATGTTTTAATCTGTTCTTTAGACCAACGAGTCATCCGTTTTACATAACTTTTGTATATGTTCACATTTTAAACTTAGAGTGAAGTAATCCTCACTTTGATTTCTTAGATGTTCCGCCCAGTGCAAGATAGACAACACTGTAAAATAATTTATTATTCAATCATTAGTGGTAATAGAACCATCAAAGCAAATGCATTTAAAAATATGACACGATCTTATGATTAAGTGCCTGAAATATTAATTCGATGATTCATTAATTTAATGGACAGACTAAAAATTGGGAAACTCCGATCGAAAGTTCAAGGGAGGGAATCAGGGGTAAATGAAAAGGGGAGAGCATCGATGAACTGTCTTATTTGTTTCGCTCTTTGGCAATTGTTTCATTAACCAAGTTGATTAAAACTGGTCTCTTTAAAGTTAATAGGGGTGTGTGGAAGTTGGGTGGGGTGAGGGGCTGTGTCCACGCATCTTGGAGAGGGTAGAGGGAAGTCAGGAGATGGATTAAAAGAAGGGCAGCCAGGGTTACTCCGGTCCCAGGGACACTTGAATATCGCCTACACTGTAAAATAATGGTAAAATGTTGGTAAAATATATTAAACGAGCCGACCCGCGGCGTATCATTTGCCGCTTTTTAGTTGTTTTATTTTCTACTTTTCAGTAATTTATAATTTGTGAATTCGACAGTACCAATGCTGCCACTGAACATATTTATTTTAAAACACTTTCAGTGGGTCGTTAAGGAAGATATCCCCCCCCCCCCCACCATCCTTTCCCCAACCCCTACCCTACACCCCCCCACTCTTGAAACCAGCCTCCTCTTAGTTACCTCCTCTAAGTTTAAAATCGTTTCAATCTAAATTATCTGCCCCTAATAGCCGTCACTAAACCCGGCTCTATGATTGTAAACATTTAGCGTGAACTAAAACTCACCAGACCATGCAGGGGTGGGGGTGGTAGTGATAGAGAGGAAGAGAGGGGACTGCAAGGCGCGCTTGCAGCTTGTTTTCTAACATCTCCCAGAAGAGAATTATATATATAGATTAATAATGGGCCCTACGATTGTTGGTAAAAATATATCAAATAGTTAGAATTTAGGAAAGTACTGAAGTACATAAAACGTGAACACGAACAGCGATTATCTCACATTAGTAGCTGTGATTTTGAAGGTGCTCAAATAATCCAATTTGATATCGGGTTGACAATCAATCAATCAATCAATCAATCAATCAATCAATCAATCAATCAATCAATCAATCAATCAATCAATCAATCAATCAATCAATCAATCAATCAATCAATCAATCAATCAATCAATCAATCAATCAATCAATCAATCAATCAATCAATCAATCAATCAATCAATCAATCAATCAATCACTCACTCAATCACTCAATCACTCAATCAATCGATCGATCGATCAATCGATCAATCAATCAATCGATCAATCAATCGATCAATCAATCAATCAATCAATCAATCGATCATCCCTTTAACCAAATACTGGGGTAGTTTGACAACAACAGCTAATTTCCTCATAATGTTCCGCCATCTGCCTCAGTCCTCTGCGGCTGTGAGTAGTTCTACAACAGGCAGCCTAGTCCAGTGTTTGATGTTCCCCATCCAGTAACATCTTTACCTTCCCATTCTTCTCACTCCTGGCACCGTGCCTTGTATTATTGCTTTGGATAGGCCGTTGGTTCGTGTGACATGCCTATACCATCTCCATTGTCTTGTTTGGCTGCTCATTAGACCAAACCTCGGGCAAACGTATTCAATATTTCTTTGTAAATAGCGCATGTCTTTCTAGAGGGAGAGTTATTTTGAATCTTACAAAGTGTAGATATGTATTTATCTAGCATTCATATTATAGTGTGTAGCATGATTTATTACGCGGTTTTTACATCAACACAATAAATGTGTACAAAATCAAAATATATCTAATATAAAGCTCAGTTCTGTATGTAACGCATATGTTTGTCGTTGGTCTTTGATGGATTTAAGTGTTAGACAATTATCGTGCGCATTTGTCTAAATTTATGAGTTAAAAACTTACTATTGAAAGTGTTGGGAAATAATTTTCATTTTTAAAATTATAGTAATAATTGTCGGCATGTTCATTAAACACAAGTTTTAAAAAAATATCATCTTTTACAAAAATTCTAATTATGTCTTTATTTAGTCCTATAGCACTTACTTCCCTTTGATAAATTAGGAAAACACAATTACTTCCCTTTATAAAACCATTGCATTAGTGGAAAATAATTTACTTTTTATTACTTTGTTTTGGTGTAGGGAAAAAAATAATTACATAATTAGCTGGGATTGATCAAGTGCAAATGTTGTAGGTATTTTACGGATAAGCTTGGAGTATTAAAATTGTTCATTAAATTGAAACAGGCGCGTTCGTTTAAGTGAGTGCAAAAGACTATGAATAAGTTGGGGTACTATAGTCGTTCATTAAGCTAAAACAGGTGATTCCGCCCCGGGCGTTTATGTTCGCGTTAGTGTTTTCTTTGTGTTTAGGTGGGTTTGCGTTAGTGGTTGCGTTTAGATTTGGTTCGTTTTTGTTCTTTCTTTTTTCGTTTTTGTTTGTTTTTTTTGTTTGAGTTTGTATTTGTGTTTTTGATTGGTTTTGCGTTTGGATTTGGTTTGTTTTCGTTTGCTTTTTCGTTGTTTTTCTTGTTGGTATTGGTGTTTGTGGTTGGGTTTGTTGTTAGGTTTTTGTTTTTGTTTGCTTTTTTGTTTGTTTTTTCTTTGTGTTTGTATTGGTGTTTGTGGTTGTGGTTGGGTTTGTTGTTAGGTTTTTGTTTTCGTTTGTATTTGTAATTGTGTTAGCGTTATGTTTGCGTTTTGTTGTTTTGGTTGGTTGTAGTTTGGGTGGGCAATGCCGGGTTTATGATGATTACTAAACACACAGGTAATGGTCTTTAACAGAAAGGTTTTTCACAGAAGCCAGAGCAGGGCCTGGCCGGGACGGCTAGTCTTAGATAAATGTAAAACTTTTATATTGAAGAATGCAGTTCTGGCATCGACAGAAAACGAGTGACGCTTAATAATTAACAAATTTTATGATCTTGTACATTTTTATACATTATGAATTCTAGACATCTAATGGTTTTCTATTTAAATAGTTATTCCAAAATTAAATAAAAATTTATTGACCATTGCAAATTAAGACATTGATGTATCAATGTTAATTTTTTACTATAGTTATTTATAATTAAAAAATGAACTTGCCATTTTTTAAAATCAATATTGAAAATCTCTTTATTATTAACAGCTTCTGGTAATATAATTACAGATTATTTCCCTCGATTACGTATGTTTGTTTTTATCAAAGGCAAGTATCCGGAGGTGGATGAACTTTGTTTTGCAATCCTGTCTCTCTCTCTCTCTCTCTCTAAGTGTGTGTGTATATGTATGTGAGAGTGAGTATATGTGTGTGTATGTGTGTGTGTTTGTGTGTGTGTGTGTGTAAACACAATAAATTGAGTACCGTTTAAGTTAGGCTGACAAAATTTCATATGTAAATATTGTATCAAGTTCTAGCTTTTCAACCAACTTTTGAGCGATTTCCCATAACCATATGTGGTACTTTCTCTACTTCTTGTCTCTTTAAAACCGATAACTTAAGTACCATTAAAATTAGGTAGACCAAATTTCACATACAAGTATTAGATTAAATGCGCAGGTTTCTCTCAAATTTTGAACGATTTCCGATAATACCGGAGATGGTACTTGACTCCATTCAGTGTATCTTCCAGACTTTTTTCTCCGGGGGTGCACTTGAAATTTTCGGGGGTGGGGGGGGGGGGGGCGACAACAATTTCCGGGGGGACGGACACTGTCAAAAGTATATATTTTCTATATAAATTCCATTTCGCTCGGGGGGGGGGGTAGACTTTCTTCGCCACCCCCCCCCCCCCCGAAGAGGTGCCTGGAAGAAAATACCCAGAACTTGAGTACCGTTTCAGTTAGGTAAACGAAATTTTATACATTGGTATTAGACCCTAATCTCTTGATTCTGTTTCATTATAAGTAATTTCTGGTTAAAGGGAAGTAGTACTTTAAACTATTTCCGATTCTTATAAAAGTTTTTTTTTTACCCATTTCCGATTCTCCATAGAATATCATAATTTGTTAATTTAATATTCTATATTCTCATAAAGCATATTCAAAATAAATGTTCTCTTATAGGCCTGTGTGCTTCCTCAAAAAAAAATGCATTTTTGTCACAAACTTCTTTATTTCTATTTTCAATTTCTATTACATTCCCCTTTATTGTTATAACAGAATATACGAGAAATTTAGGGTAGATCACTACCTTTTTATTTATTGTACATAACGTGATGAAACGGTGTTATTTGCTAATCGTTGTCCATTTTGTTTCTCCATTAGAATCAATTTTAATTAAATTTCCTTAATCACTTATCGATTCGACCGTATAATTTTCGTGAAGGAAATTAGGCTTTAGTTTAAGGGAGAGAAGGACTAGACACTAGCCAGCGAAACTACTAGAATCTGCAGACTATCTGGACTACACCGAGATGAAATCTGCTGTTGTGTTCATCGCAGTCTTAGCCCTCATGGCGCTATTTCTGGTTGTCGAAGGTATTTGTAAGGGTACTTACAGAGATAAGCATGTATTGTTAGGAAAATATTTTTTTCTAGCCAATTCAACTTCAGTTGTATGCGCACGCACACAGACACACCTACACACACAATATATATATATATATATATATATATATATATATATATATATATATATATATATATATATATATATATATATATATATATATATACGCAAATATATTTATATATATGCATATATGTATATATCTATTTATATATATATGCATACAAATATGTACATATATATTTGGGGGGAGGGGTGTTGACATGGTTAGGTACCGCACCGGGTTACACCCGCCCTAGCAGAGTTTCTTCCAGGCATCTATTCGGGGGGGGGGGGGGCTTAGACACCCCCCCCCCCCCCCCCCCCGAAATTTTTTTTTACCGACCCGCCCCCCCCCCCCCCCCCGAACGAAATGAAATTTATATAATTTATATAGAAAATATATACTTTTAACAGTGTCCGCCCCCCGAAGAAAGTCTACCGCCCCCCCCCCCCCCGAAAATTTCAAGTGCCCCCCCCCCCCCCCGGAGAAAAAAGTCTGGAAGAAACACTGCGCCCTAGCGACGCCACTGTCACAATCTACTAGTGGTGTGACGTCATTTGTATAATAAAAAAATGCTAATACTTGCTATGTACAATCAATAGGTATTATTTTTTTTAATCTGTTAAAGTTTCTCCATTCAGACTATCTTTCCTTTTTTTAATGACAGCACGGCACCTTGGACATTTACCATTTTGGCCATGTACTTGCTTTCCTCGGCAATACTGTCCTGAGTATGTAAAATATTTTATACTGCTGTAAAATAGCACATACATCAGTTTATGTCGATACACATTTAACTTTCACTCTCATTATTTAATAAGATGTTGGGTGCTCGGCATTTAGGGGACAGCGCGTGATTGCTAATTCCAAAAACTCCCCGGGCAGATGAGGGGAGAAACACAGGTAGGAGAGAAACACAGGTAGGAGAGAAACACAGGTAGGAAAAAAACACATGTGGGAGAGAAACACATGTGTGAGAGAAACACATGTAGGAGAGAAACATATGTAGGAGAGAAACACATGTAGGAGAGAAACACATGTAGGAGAGAAACACATGTGGGAGAGAAACACATGTGTGAGAGAAACACATGTAGGAGAGAAACACATGTAGGAGAGAAACACACGTGGGAGAGAAAAGCAAGTTAAAGACGGAATCAACTAGCCCAAAGGCGCATCACATGATGATACGTGGTACTTAATTGTGTGAGAATCCATTCCAACACTACGATTGAGAACGAAGAACAAGATGAAAATAATAAATACATAAAAACGTTTGTAATTACAAGCTTTTATAAATTCACTAAAAAGAAGAAAATAATACAATTTTTATTAAATATAAAATAATTTTAAAAAATATATAATAAATATGCGGTTACTTTAAATAAAAAAAAATACTTTCTTTAAAAATATTAATGCACTACTATTTATATCACTATAAATAAAAGCGCGGACCGCTTGTTTAAATATTTATTATTATAGCGGCCCACCTGATGCCAAGAAGGGTGTGGTCTGATGGTAGAGCTTACGGTTGCTAACCCGAAAGTCTTGAGTTCGGGCTCTGGTCTGTAGTAGGGCCCTGGATCAATCCAGCTCTGATGAGTACCTGTATCAAATTAGGACAATTACTACTGAACACACTGTTCCCCTGTATGCTGAGGTCATTGAAACGGTTCCATAACAAATGATCTAAGAACAAATGATCTCAGAAAGATTATCCCTGACAAATTATCTCACGGGTAAATGATATCAGGATAAAATATCTCAGACAAAATATCTCTCTCACTAAAATTAAACGTTTTTAATACTGAAACAGTTTGGTGAAGCCACATTTTGATGTACATTTCTTTTTTCAGAGGATGCACTATTAAGGTGACCAGTTAGCCATATAGAGCTTACATCAAGCTGGCTAATCCTTACATTTGAGGTTTTGAGCTTAGCCATCAAGCTTCAATCGTATTTGACTTCGTAATTTACAAATGATGTTACGGTCAAGTTGTTAATAAAACGATTTTGATTTCCAAACTTCTCTGACGCGTGGTTTGTCATTTTCTCCACCTTAAACATTAAATAGTACTCTACAAGAATTTCAGCTACAGCATACACACAGCATCCCCGCAGCTAACTTAGTTCTCACCTAGTGCCTGTTCAAAACGACCCGCGACAAAATGTTACCCACAAAGCGAACCCTTAGAATATCACCTCAAAAGGACTCATCACAAAAGAAACTTGCGATAAAAAAAAGACTTCTGTCAAAAACTTTACACAAAATATTTTCACATGAAGTGGGTAGATGTAGTGTATGCAGTCGTTGCCGTGGAACATGGTTAAGTATCGTGAATTGGACCCGTACAAAATGGCCAATATGGTGTGGGCAATACAAAGTGGTCAGTATAGTGGTCAGTATAATGAAGCCAGTATTATTTGGATTGTATATTGTGGTCATGCAGTTACTATAATTAGAACATGTATGACCAAGGTAACGGCCCAAACAATGTTCTCAGTATGAATGGGAAATGTTGCCAGAATAGAGTGGCCCTCAACAATGTGTGGCCACTAAAATGAGTGGCCGGTACATTATGGCCAGTTTAAAACAACAAGTAGACTGTGGTCACCAAACTTTGACTAGTCATTGGTGGTCATCAACCATTAGCTCGGCCAATAAATTAAATTTTACATGCGTTGTCTCCCCTGGTTTCTAATTGTACTAGTAAAAGGGAAGCAATAAATTCTTTTAAAAAACAACTGCACAGCATAACATCACACAGTAAAATTCCTCAGAAAAAAATATCTTGCGGGCTCAAATGCTCGAATTAAATGTCGCAAGGGGTGGGAATTTCAAGTGATAATTACGACTTAAAAAAAATGCAAATCCAGAAAGAAAACAAATATTTGAATTCATTGAACGATTTCACATGTATCTCTCCGCGAATCTCGCCGTAAGCTTACGCGGCCCCATGATCACATCCGCAAATATTAACCAAACGCTTGGCCCGGTCGCTTCTCAATATAAATGCAAAACTGGACAGGGGCGAGGGTACGTAATACCCAGATAATCTTCTGGTTATAGAAGTGATACGGTGTTGTCTCTGGTGGTCAGTTTGGGGCGGGTTGGAGTTGGGGGGAGGGGCGACATAGACTGGTGATTGAAGTAGAGAACAGTTTTTACTGGCGTCTTTTCGGGGGGGGCGGGGGGGGGGGGCGAAGCCCCCTCGAATCAAGCCTACCGCCGAGAAAGAAAATATATTTTATATAGAAAATACTTTAAATATTGCCTCCCTCCCTCCTCGAAATTTAAGTGCACCCCCCCCCCCCCCCATATGAAGTCCACCCCCCCCCGCCCCCCGATGAAAAATGTCTGAAAGAAGCACTTGTATAGAACATGCGATGAATTCAGCAGTTGTTATTGTGATGGCTTCTAGCGATGTAAGCAGATTGTATTCTAGTATCATAGTACAAGTTTAGCAATATAAACAGAAATTGATATTTCAACGCCAAGGATAGACACAGGTGCAGAATATATTCCAAGTAGAGACAGAGCAGTTTTTAAACCCAACGGGAATCGAAAAAGTGTATAGCATTCAAATAGAGCACTTGTGTCTAAAATTAGTTTGGTGGAGTACCTAATTACCTCATGGTAATTACTTCCTCCCCTTGAGAACATCTTTCATCCCTGAAATCGGTAAAGTGGTCAAAACGGTATTTCATAACGGTAATGTCACATATTACAACGTGATTGTTTCACATAAAAATGTGCCTGTGTCACACATTAAAATATGTTTGTGTAACACTGTAAGGCATCTGATTGTGTGAAACTGTAAATAAAATTTTGATTGTGTCCGTAACAAATAGGATTGTGTCAAAAATTAAAGTTTACAGCTAGTATTTACAACACACAGAAAACATAATTGTGTCGATAAAAATGGGATTTAATCAACTCTTCACCAACTGCGATGGTTTTCTGCGTAAGTGAAATCACACTTTGGTTTCTCATCAAGCTGACCAAGAATCCCCTTATTCCCCCCCCCCCCCCCTTCCCCCACTTCCATCCAAAAACTCCCACACCCCTAACCCGGGAATTGGATGACAATCATGTCTTGAATATTTCGCTTTGATTACCGAGATACAACTGTGTCTTATTTAATTACGATATCGTTGTTAGGTAGCCTTTTGTTATTCAACAATTTGAAGTAGCCTTTTGTTATCAACAGAATTATGTAGCCTTTTGTTATTCAACAATCGTAGGTAGCCTTTTGTTATTCAACATTGTTAGGTAGCATTTTGTTAATCAACAGTGTTAGGTAACCTTTTGGTATTCAACAGCGCTAGGTAGCCTTTTGTTAATCAAGAGTGACAGGTAGCCTTTTGTTATTCAACAATCGTAGGTAGCCATTTGTTATTCAACAGAATTAGGTACCCTTTTGGTATTCCGACGACCGGAAGTTGACAGCGGGTTGTGACACAACTCCCACATTCTGGTCAAATGTTTAGTATGCTTTGAAATCTGGTGGAGCTATTCAAAGGGCCGGTAACTCTGGGAATCGTAAGTAGAAAGTAGGTGAGGATTTCTGAATGGAAAAAAATAGCTCTTCCTACGGGTTATATGTTTATGTTTATGTATCATAGTATATTTAACCGAGTACTGTTATGTTTTTTGAAAACCATCTGTTTAACATATTTTATTTGTATAGCAATGAAGCTTTGGCGAGTGGTTTAAAATTATAACAGTTCTCTAAACCTGTGTTTAAATTTTAAGTTGAATAGGCGAAGAAGTCTTTTTACTTCTTTTAAGTTCTTAATTTTAATATTGAATATTTCCTTGTACTCAATTAAGTATTTCGTGTTAACATATTATGAGCCATAAGGCTCTTGACGCTAAAAAAAAATTAAAGCAATTCTCTCACCCGAGTTACCAACCAATAGATCAGTAGAACGATTTTAACAATCAAGCAATTCTCTCACCAAAGTTACCAATTAATAGAACAGTAGAACGATTTTAAGAATCGAGCATTTCTCTCACCAAAGTTACCAATTAATATAACAGTAGAACGATTTTGAGAATCGAGCATTTCTCTCACCCAAGTTACCAGCTGGTAGAAACGTGTGTTCCATGCTTTTAACCCCCCCCCCCCCAATTACCTGTTTTAGACATTAATTCCACCCAGGGAACGACATAAAATCCTCAGTCCAAATTCGAACTCTTGACTAGTCCCTACTCAGGTACTGAACTCACAAGTTTGAAATAAAGGTATACTACTAGACCACGTTATCCTCGACACAACAAAAACATTCCCCCGAATACAACTGTAGTTGGAAGCTTTATAACCATGACTCATTGTCACAGATTTTAATTCAAAGGAAGCAATTTTCCCCGTTGGACTTTGCCCCGCCCTAAAGCCATAGGCCTGACAAGATGTGATGAAAAATAATTTTTTTGAAACTGAAGAGCTCTGATCCCAGGATCACGTGACAACAGCGTATTAAATTTCAGCCAAGAAGCTCGGGGGGTTGAGAGGCAGGCTCTCAAGAGAGTCAACAGTTTTGGTACCATTTGGTATTTTCAAATCTGATATCCGGTAGTCAGTTGGCGGGGGGGGGGGGGGGGGGGGGGGGGGAAGAAAGAAATTGATATTTATCAAGTTTGCTAATGGAGAGTTCAGATGGCGCTTTTAGTTATAGCCACGAGACAGTTGACGTCAGCAAGGGAGGGCGAGTGCTTGTTAAATTTTCAATATAAATTATTTACTTAAGCGGGTGGGGGGGGGGGGAGACTTGCAACGTGGCGTGGGCGGGGGGGGGGGCGCCGAAACGAAGCACGGTAATAACCTCGATCTCTACTGATACACACGGTCAACGTGGCTCTGGCGAAGCAGCCTATGCTAATTACTCATCAGTGGACTAATTTGTTTTCTTAATCAACACTAATATACAATTCTTTTTGTCGTAGATTATCATTTGTAGTTAACGACGCAAAATTAAAACTAAAAAAAAAGCGATGCGAGTAATGAGAAAAATCTCGACTACATTGTTCTCCGGCTTTAGCCTACTCGGACAAACGACGTCCGCCTCGGCCGGGGATTTTTTCCTGGCGATTAAAGGGACACCAATCTTGCTGTCAAATCAGTGTCGCCGGTCGGCCCCTGCGCCTTGCCGGATTAGCCCTTCCCCGGCGGTGGCGCTCGAGTGACAGGGAATCGAGTCTAATAGAGCCTTCGATTATTGGTGTCAATTTCACCCGGTCTCAATGACGCCTGGGGGTGACAGACGGGTCTCATTGTATTGTCGTGTCATTAATAATTCTAGTTTCATATCGTTAATGATCATTTTTATCTCATTAATAATTCTAGTTTCATATCGTTAATGATTCTTTTTATATCATTAACAATTCTTTTTATATCATTAATAATTCTAGTTCCATATCACAGAGGCGTAGCGAAGGGGGGACGGCGGGCGGACACATGTCCCCGGGCGCCGACCTTAGGGGGGGGGGGGGGGCGCCAAAATGGGTTGGAAAATCAAAACCTACATTTACATACACACACACACACACACACACACATATATATATATATATATATATATATATATATATATATATATATATATATATATATATATATATATATATATATATATATATATATATGAAATAAATCGACAAAAAATTAAAATGTTCATACACCACAAAAATAATAATTATACTATGTAATATGCCTCTAACGGTCAACAATTTCTTATAAATGTTAATAGAAAGAACACAATATTTAAGAAGAATATACAGACTCTATGTGTGATGGGGAAAAACAACACAACAAATTAACTTTTCGACCTTACGTCTTGGTCATCCAGAACAAGAAGAAACTCAAATCTATTTTTTTAAATTACTTATGAAAAAGACAAAACTAAAAAAAAATACCGGGAATAGAAATACAAGTGCTATCTTAATTTGTTTAGATGAAACAAATACTTCTTGCCATTTTATATTTTACAAAGGGAATAATAAAACAACCCTGTATTGCTTTAAAAAAAA